AATACCAGCAAATGTTTTTGATAACATATCACCAAACAAAGGAAAACTAACTATTTTCCTAGAAAATGATTTTCCGGAAAATATTTTCCAAAAAACGTTACATTTTTCGTGAAACAAACACGCTCTTAATAGAAGATCAACCTAGTACGTCATAAACCTTACGATTTAGAATATACACTTTCTAGAATATCATCCTGCCATAATTTCCATGCTCAAAGATGAAAACTAAAATATCATCGACCAACAGTCATCTCAATACATTGCCATGCAGTGTTTGTTGTATCTATTTACCAATTAGTCAACCAAATTTCCAAGCAGAGGAAATTAAAAGATTTCAAGAAGAAATGACATTTCAACTATTTGCAGATTAAAATGAAGAGTTGCATCCGTTTACCAATTAGCCAACCAAATTATTGTGCAGAAGATATTAAGAGATTTTAAAATGAGAAAGCATTTCACCTATTTGGATATTAACCATTACTGTTCAATGAGTTAAGCAGAAATAGATTTTTCTATTTTGCTGAGATGAGTTACGAGAAAAAAAACCCGTTTGATAATGACAAAAATTTCTATTTCTAGAACGAAACCCCTTTTGATAACAAAAAATTTCTATTTCCGAAATAAAAACCCGTTTGATAAACAACAGAAAATTCTATTTCAGGAACAAAATTCCATTTTTTTAGAAATGGAATAAAAATAATAAAAAATCCGAAAAATTGAAAAATTCCAGAAAATCCCAAAAAATTTCTAAAAATCTTTAAAAAAATTCAGAAAATCCCAAAAAATTGAAAAATTCCAGAAAAAATCATCAAAATGTCGAAAAATAAAAAAAATTTAGATTTCGGAAAACAGAAATCATTGAATTTTCAAAAAAAATCAAGAAATCAAAATTTCAAAACTTCATGAATTGCTTAGAATACTGTGGCTACCCACTTTTAGTGAAATTTAAATTTTTAGGTGCCCAAAAAAATCAAAAAATCAAAAATTTCAAAACTTCACTTGAGAATAGTTTAGAATACATGTGGCCACCACTTTGAGTGAAATTTAAATTTTTAAGATGCCCAAAAAAATTCAAAAACTCAAAAATTTCAAAACTTTACTGAATGGCTTAGAATACGTGTGGCCACACACTTTGAGTGAAATTTTAATTTTGGAGGTGAAAAAAAATCAAAAATTTCAAAACTTCACAGAATGACTTAGAATACATGTGGCCATCCACTTTGAGTGAAATTTTAATTTTTTTAGGTGAACAAAAACATAAAAAATCAAAAATTTCAAAACTTCACATAATGACTTACAATACCTCTAGCCACCCACTTTGAGTAAAATTTAATTTTTTTAGGTGCCCAAATGGTATTTTTGATTTTTTTGGTTCCTAAAGAAAATTAAATTTCACTCAAAGTGGATGGCCACATGTATTCTAAGCCACTCTATGAAGTTTTGAAAATTTTCTTTTTGCTTATTTTTATTTTTTTCGACACCTAAAAAAATTAAATTTCACTCAAAGTGGTGGCCACAGGCATTCTAAGCAATTACGTGAAGTTTTTATTTTTTATATTTTTCGGCACCTAAAAGAAATTAAATTTCGCAAAGTGGATGGCCACAGTATTCTAAGCCATTTTGTGAAGTTTTGAAATTTTTATTTTTTTCTGTTTTTTTTTTTTTTTCGGTACCTAAAAAATAAAATTTCGCTCAAAGTGGGTGGCCACGGTATTTTAAGCCATTCTGTAAAGTTTTGAAATTTTACTTTTTTGCTTATTTTTATTTTTTTTGGCATATAAAAAATTTAAATTTCACTCAAAGTGGGTGGCACATGTATTTTAAGCTATTACGTGAAGTTTCGAAATTTTTATTTTTTTATTTTTTTCGCACCTAAAAAATTTAAATTTCACTCAAAGTGGATGGCCACAAGTATTCTAGATTATTCTTGAAGTTTTGAAATTTTGATTTTTGCTTTTTTTATTTTTTCGCACCTAAAAAATAAAATTTCGATCAAATTGGTGGCAAATATTCTAAGATATTCTGTAAGTTTTTAAATTTTAGAATTTTTATTTTTTTGGCAACTAAAAAAATTAAATTTTGCTTAAAGTGGGTGGCCATAAGCTTTCTAAACCATTTTGTGAAATTTTGAAATTTTTATTTTTATTTATTTTTTTTTTTTTCGGTACCTAAAAAATTTAAATTTCATTGAAAGTGGGTAGCCATGATTCTAAACCATTCTGTTAAGTTTTGAAATTTTGATTTTTTGCTTTTTTTTCTCACCTCAAAGATCGTGACTTCCATATGAATATATGTGTTGAAGAAAATGAATTCCTCATAAATGGTTCTCACTTTTGTTCCAAAATGAAAAACCAACTTTTTTGGTTCTCATTTACGGTTTTAAATCAGTTTGGAAGCAAACTTATTCGGAAATAAAAAAAGAAATTGCGTTACAAACGGGTTTTTGGTCCAAACGATTACGGGAACAAAAACCAGTTACGGACGAACAGAATGGTTAGCAACCAAGGATGTGTTATCGTTAGTAAAAAATGAGCTAAAGAAGAAAAGAACGTGAAAGAGTGGTTGGAAAATGACCTTCGTACTAATAAAATAAACTATGTCGGATGAGCACAATTAAAATAGAAGACATCATGGATTGATCGCGTGCTGACATGTCCATGGCTACGTGTAACGCGATTATTCTTGTTTAGCCCAGGCACGTACATGAAAGCAAATTGGTCTTTGATCTCATCCTTTTGGTGTTCACACTCTTTGAGATAATACTAAACTTTGAAAAGAAGGGAGGAGGAGATCTGAAATTCATGGCATCGGTGACTAAAGTTTTCTGATCCATCCGTTTCGTAGAAAAGGAACGATTTAGAAAAATGAACGAACGAAAAATATTTTCATCACCCACAAAAATGTTTGGCATGAATTATTGCCGATAATGAAAATATTTTCTATTGGCTAATTATTTTGAGCGATGCAAACGATCGATTTTAGGAACATGTTATTCGAATCATTTATTTTTCGCGAAAACGAACAGAACCTAAGTACACATCCGAAAAATCATAATCATCTCATCATAGCATGACATGTAATGTGATGTCGGCGATTTTATGTAATGTGATGACGGCGATTTTTCTTTTCTATTATAACACTGTGATCTTGAAAATAAAAATGAATTTATAATAGTTCAATCTCGATGGACATCCATCCTACATCATACTCTCAAAAAGAGAAATCTAAAACTCCAAAAAAAAAAAAAGATTCCGACACAATCGATATTTACTCTAAGATGAATAACAACGATATTAATACTAAATGATAGATAAATTGACAACTTAAATTGGTTGATATAAATATCATCTTATTTCGTAAAATATCTTATTACTTCTACGATTATTCTACTTCTGTACATCCAGTTATATTTAGGGCATGTTTGGTGACGCTCCACATTCTCTGATTTTCTATTCTTTTGTTCCCCGAAACAAAAAAAGAACAGAAATTCATTTGATAACGTCAGTCAATTTTTTTGTTCCCCGGAATAAAAAAGTGGCTAAGAAGTAAATTTGGAATAGAATCAAGAAGTAAAAATAATCCGCTTCTTGATTTTGTTCCAAATATATTCTCTAAATTCTAAAATCCAAAATCTTAAATCTCAATACCTAAACACTAAAGCCCTAAACCTAAAACCCGAAACCTGAAACTCTAAAACCCTAAACCCCTAGACCCAAAACCCAAACCCTAAAACCCAAAACCCGAACCCCAAAACCCCAAACCCTAAATCCTAAAATCCTAAACCGCAAAACCCCAAACCCGAAATACTAAACTCTAAACTCTAAACCCTATACTCAAACCCCAAAACCCGAATCCCTAAAACCCTAAACCCCAAAACCCCAAACTCTAAACCCGAAACACTAAACCCCAAACCCTAAAACCTAAATCATAAAATCATAAACCCCAAATCCTAAACCCCAAATTCTAAAACCCCAAAACTCCAAACCCGAAACCCTAAAACCCAAACTCCAAACCCTAATCCTAAACTGCAATTTCCTTGACCACCATCTGGTATTTGCTTTGTCTATAAGGAGTAATCCAATTTTATATCATAATATATTTTGATTTTATTTCTAGTCTAATTTTATCCAAACATAAAGAATTGTTGAGTCTTCACTCACACTTCATAATTAAATGACAAAATTGGGAGTATAAATTTTTAAAGTCGTACCAAATGCACTGTTCATTTTTTATTCCGAGAATAGGTATTTTGTGAGGTTATCAAATGCATTTTTTTGCTCAGAAACTGTTGCTGGGAACAGAATTAGAAAAAACTATTCCCGAACAGAAATTGTTCTCAGGAACAGAAACGTTACCAAACAGACCCTTAATATTCTTATTGAAAATTATTCAAGTCGCACTTTTCGTTCTCTATTAATTTCTTTTTTCATCTTTTGTACATATTGGTGGGTGGCCTTTTTGTTAATAGACAGAGGCTTATTAATATCCTTTCCTGATGTAATTATGCACAATGAGCTACTTGCGTTGCCTATTTTCCAATGGGTTCTAAATAAGAGCATGAAGTGCCATTATTTTCTCAAATAAGGGCTTAAAGTGGACATTATTTCAAATAAGGGCATGGGGTGTCCTCTATTTCTCAAATAAGAGCCTAAAGTGGCTATAACAGTTTCAAATAAGGGCCTAACCTCTCCAGCCGACTAAATATTCCAGCCGGTCAAGGGCATTTTTGTCCAAAGAAAAATTTTAAACTAAGTTTTAGTTAAATTAGATTAAAACTTAAGAAGATAATTTTTTTTAAATATTCCAGCAAGCCCTCTCACCTGTGAACGTTGCCCTATCGCCGGTGGGGCGACGGTGATGGCAAGCAAGGTCGCCAACGACCCTCGTCTACTAGAGGCAGGGGCCTACCGAGAGAGGACCGCAACCCTCTCAGTTATGGCGAGGGTCAACGGCCATCGCTGAGGCGCCGACCCCGCTTGCCATCACCGGTGGAGCGGTGGCTTTGCTTTTGATTGCTTAGATCTGTGCTTTTCGTAGTCTCTTTGTATTAAGAAACAAGAACCCATTTTTAAGCGCGCCAGAGAGAAGGTAGTGAGGCTGTTGACTGTGAGTTTGAGTCCGTGTTGAGTAGAGTTCTGTGCGCTTCTGGGTTCATCAAAACATAACTTGTCGTTCTGATTGATTGCAGTTTTGATTGATTGTTGCTTGTTATAGCTGCTGAAATAGGTACACTTATCGTTCCATCCTGTTCGGGGTTCATCAATGTTTACTTGCTGCTCTTTTTCAACGTTGCCTAGAATTTTCTTTTCGTGTGTCCCCATAAAATTCCAATTGGTGGAGAAGAGGTATGTGTAAGCTTGAAGTGCTGTGGTGACGAATGAGTCAGTTTCTTGAAGTGAATAATGCGAATGAGTTAGTTGTTTGAATGCTATGAATTGATTGTGATGAGTAGTTAGGGGGGTATTCCCGGTCTCTTGCTTTGTACAGAGGCTCGGCGTGCAATCTTTCCCTGCCCTTTTAACAAAGTAACTAGCGGTAGCACAAACTTAGCATGCGATGTTTCATCCAGCCTTTAATTATGTACGTGTTCTGTAGCAATCGAAGATCAAGGAAACAATTGGTGTACTGAGGCCTCACTTGACTAGTTCGATTAGCGCCGTTGATGCAATTCAAGAGTTGGAACCAATGGCAATAATGGGCTTCACTGCAGTGCGGGTCATAGGCTCAAGTTCCGTCATGCCAAGCTGAGGGAGTAGTTTCCCAGCCATAGACTCTTTTATGAGATTCCAGAATAGATGGGAGGATCATTTTAGCTGTACAATTTTTGTTTCTTGACCCTTGATGTAATCAGTTCATGTCAATCAATGAAATTTTAGTTTGCTGCAGAATCAATTTCTATTTCTAGTTAATGATTGATGTTTGCTGTGTAACTTTGAGTCGATTTTAACGATGCATATATGCACCTTGAGATCGATGTGAGATATGAGCGGTGTTGCAGCTTGAGAATGGAAAAAACTTTTAAATGAGCATGGTTAGTGTGTTGACTGTAATTGAGATTGAAAAAACTGCAACATTGGGTCCTGAGATTTCTAATAGTTAGTGGTGTTTTGCTGTGTAAGATTGAGCAATTATAGTTGATTGTCACAATGCATCCTTGCACCTTAAAATGTGTTGATATTTTGAATACATTGTTATATTCGTCGAGTTTGATTTTTTTAACCAGAAAATAAATGTAATTTTCTCACTTTTATAAATCTGTTAATATGTTCATATTCAAATTGTATAAATTGCGGTTATCGTTTTTTTCTAATTTTTAAAAAAATTAAAAAGCTTAAATTGGTCAGCCTAAGGACTTTTCAAATGTGTTTCAATCAAATGGCATTTCTCTTAAAGTTGCTTCCCAAAGCATAATTTACCAAACAGTTTTTGTGTTTCCCCAATGCCCTTTAGGATGAAGTCCTTTGCATTTTCACAAAGCCCCTTGAAAAAATTGAACCAAATGGACCAGACCCATCCTTCTTTGGCATCTCCTCCTTCCTTTGCCTCCACCCCAGCTGCTTCATTGTCTTCATCCGGCTCGTTTTTAGTCGCTTTCTCTTCTCCAACAGCACATTTTGGATGGAGATCAAAACCGCACTCCTCGCAATAATACGACCACACCTCCCCTGCCTCATCGCAGCCATCACAAGTGTACATTCTCCTCTGAGCAGGAACGAGGTCGTGCTCTCCATGCAAAGGATGCTTCAACTTCTCTGGCCAGCCTTTTATACTTTCCTTGAACTTTTCCTCTAACTTCTTGAGATGTTCGGCGGTAAAAGGATAAGCATCAGGCCCGTGTTCCATTATAAGATCCCTTGTTTTGTTAGTCACCGTCCGGCCCGTTGGGCCTATGGCTACGAGCATGGGGATCCCCTCGACCTTGAATTTGCGACTCAGGAATTTCTTCCTCTCGTCACCAAAGGGGAGCGCCAGCCACGGCATCTCAGCAAAATAATCGTCGAAAGCAGTTTGGTCCTCGTCGCTGGAGATGAAGATCAACTCAAAGGCATTGTCTGTGGCCTTGATCTTTTCGTATGCTTCTTTAAGCACCGGCAGGAATGCACGGCAAGGAGGGCACCAGTGTGCCGAGAAGTAAAGGAGGACAGTCTTTCCTACCAAGTCCGATACAGGAATCTGCACTCAAAGTTAAGAAACAACCTTTTAGATGAACCACCAATCGATGGATAAGGCACGTGAAAACTGCATAAATGGAACGGATTTTCCTGGTTATAGACCTGGTTTCAATCCTTTCCTCAGCTCAAGTAACCCGAGGGACAACAATATTTGGGGCCTCAATGGAGACATTAAAAATTCCAAGTCATTAGCTTCTAGGTGAAAGAACAAATTTACCTTGGTTCCATCCTTTCCAATGACGAAATCCAGATCCCCTGAAACCAAGATCGACTCCAAGGTCTGAGATTCTTCCCTTTTCTTCTCTATCTCTGCGAGCTCTGCAAACTTTTCTGGAGTGAATGGGTAAGCTGCAACGCCATGCTCTTCAATGGTTTCTGCGACGTTGGAATGGAGAGTCTTCCCATCCTGACCGATTATGACCAGAGTGGGTAGAGTCGACAGCTCAAAGTACATAGCCAACTTCTCACATTTCTTGTCTTTCAATGGTAATGAAAACCATGGCATGCTTCCAAAGGATTGGTTGAATGATTCTTCATCGTCATCGAGAGGTATCTGAACGATCTCAAAGCTCTCTCCTTTGGCCTTCAATTTCTCATAAACCTCCAGTAACTTTGGCGTGAAATCAGCGCATGATCTGAGCACAGACCACGAGAAGTACAGACCCACAGTTTTCCCTTCAAGCTCAGTAACAGGAACCTAGCTTGGCCACATAACTAGATTAGTAAAAGGGGGATGGAAAACCGAATCATAAGCATGCAACCATCAGTTTCAAATGCATTGAAGATCTTTTTAGGCTTACCTGATTCCCATTGGACAAAACTACGAAGTCACGAGATCCATGAACCAAAAGAGAGGTCAATGATTGATTTCTCCTAGCAGCAGCTTCCTGCTCTTTTAATTCTTTGATGCGTTCTGGAGTGAAAGGGTGACCTTCCACTCCATACTCGCGGACGATCTCAACTCCGCTATCTGTTAAGACTGTACCTGTGCTATCGAGAATCACAAGGTGGGGTATTCCACTGATCTCAAACAATTCATCCAAGCTATCACGCTTCTCCGAGTCAGAAAACGGGATTGCAAGCCATGGCATCTTGGAAAAGTATCCATTGAAGGACTCTTCATCCTCATCTGCAGAGATAAAAGTGATTTCCAGGTCATCTCTTGGGGAGAGTTCATTGTACACCTCCACAAGCATCGGGGTGAACTGCTGGCACGGACCGCACCACGACGCGGAGAAGTACAAGCCGATCTTCTTCCCCTTCAAGCTATCAACCTTAACCTGATATAGGACAAAAGATGTTCCTAATTTGAGTTCTTTCATACAGTAATCAGCAAGCAAGGCACACTAGATGATCAATTGACCACCACACGAAATCCTGAAAATGCTCAAGATACATCCAAATGCCAACTAGACAAGCACTTCCCTTAAGCACTACTCGTTAATTTGCTCGCAAATTAGCAGTCTCGTCCCGTCGACCAAAACAAGTATACCACATTGAAGGTGTGAGCATTTATACTAAAGAGTATTACTTTATAGCAATATCGAATTCATATACACCGAGTACACACGACTCTAAGTACATATCTTTCTTTAACAAGTAATGCATCATTTACCAATCATCCAGTTTCTGAAGGAAACAAATATAAAGCACTCGAAAAATGATGATCCAAGATCAGAACAAATTAGCTTATCTTGAACTGAATTCGCCAGCTTTAGCCATCACAAACCGACGGCTTCGCAATCACAGACTCCCAGCAAAGAACATCCGCATTTAAACTTAAAAGGCGCACGGACCACATCTTCAAATCCAACAGGGAGAAGCACCAACAAAGAATCAGATCAGTAACGCTCTCCCCCATTCCCCCCGGATTCGAAATTTCAAAAAAACCGATCACCAGAACAAGAATTCCTCGCGCGAAACTGGGTCGTCAGCGAAGCAACTCGCACGCAAGCCCCCGAGAACTTCAACAAGGACGCCAACCCACGATTCCTTTTCCCCTTTTCCGAAGAGCAAAAGTAAAAAAGAGAACCGAGCTTCACCTGATCGCCGTTGTTCCGGACGAGGAAGTCCCTGTCCGGAGAAGACAGGAGGGACTGAACATAGCGAGAAGAAGCCCCGCCTCCGACGACGTCCGACATCCTCGCCGCTTCGCTTCTCGCTCCCGTCCTGTGCTCAAGGGTATTGTTTGCTGAGGGTGAGGGTGCCTGAGAATCCTCCAATGGTGGGCTCCTGCTCCTCCGTTTACGCAGTAGACAGAAAAAATGTCGGGCATGCAGATATAAATTTCCGGTGACTTCCTGGGGACTTTTGGACGCAAGCCAAGGTTGATGGCCATCTCGGGAAGTGGGCTCCAACATGGGAAGGAAAGACAAGACGACGAGGATGCCTCCGACACGTCAGCAAATCTTAGTCTTCATTTTTTCTTATTTTATTTTTCTTTCTATTTACCCCCTTTTGCCATCATTCCTTGCTTCCGCCCCAAGAAGCCGCGTCTTTAGTCTCCACACGTTTGAAGCTTTGCAAGGAATTTCAATTTTCACCCTCTCGAGGTTATGGCAAGTTAAATCTTGATTATTTTCATACTTCACCCCTCTCGCCCCGCCCGTTTGAATTTGGAAAAAATGTAAAATTTTCGTGATTGATCTGTTCAATCGAGATAAAAATCATAAATGATGAATTATGTAAAATTCGGAATTCGCAATAATTAGGAGGTCGAGACTAATTTGCAATAATTAGGAGGTCGATCTAATCAAGAGAAAAATCATAGACAAGAAAAAGATGAATACGAATTCCTTGAGTTGATATGGATAGTTAAAGAAAAGAATTATTCCAAATGATAATTGAAAAAAAAAATTAATGGGCCCTCTTAATCTTAATCCAAATAAACAGTAATTGTAATTAAAAATATTGTAATATCATCGCGATTAATCTATATAATTCAAAGGGAAAATAAAAAATAAGATAAAGATAAAGAAGAAGAAGAAGCAGCAGCTCAAGAAAAGAATCACTCCAAATGATAATTTTGAAAATCGAAAATTCTATAAAATCCAAAATCCGCAACAATTCGGAGGATGAGAAGGGGGAAATTGCAAAGTATCATGCGAAACTTAGCGACCAAGGACATGTTATCGTTAGTAAAAGGAGCTAAAGAAGAAAAGAACATGAAAGAGCGGTTGGAAAACGACCTCCGTACAAATAAAATAAATTATGTCAGATGAGCACAATTGAAATAGAAGACATCATGGAATGATCGCGCGCTGGTGTGTCTGTGGCGACGTGTAACGCAATTATTCTTGTTTAGATCGGGCACGTAAAAATGGTAAAAATGTCACGATTAATCTATCTAATCAACAGAAAAATTATAGACAAGAAAAAGATGAATACGAATTCCCTGAGTTGATATGGATAGTTAAAGAAAAGAATTACTCCAAATGATTATTGAAAAAAAAATTAATGGGCCCTCTTAATCTTAATCCAAAGAAACAGTAATTGTAATTTAAAATATTGTAATATCGTCGCGATTAATCTATATAATTCAAAGGGAAAATAAAAAATAAGAAAAAGATAAAGAAGAAGAAGAAGCAGCACAAGAAAAGAATCACTCCAAATGATAATTTTGAAAATTGAAAATTCTATAAAATCCAAAATCCGCAACAATTCGGAGGATGAGAAGGGGGAAATTGAAAGTATCATGCGAAACTTAGCGACCATGG